TTATGGTATGCATGGTCATATTCGCCCTTATTGTTATAAGTTGCATGGGAGAGTTTATTTGCCTAGACCTAAAAATAGGATGTTGGAAACCAAGTCGAGACGGGTTTCCATTGAAAGCAAAGGAAACTACAACGTCAAGACACCATCCAAGAACCGCAATGCTCACAACTTTGTTTATACTAAAGCGGTTTGGGTGAGAAAACTTGACTTGTGTTAATTTGTTTATTTGTTTTAGTTTTTAGGTTTCTGTGTGTTTTTTTTTAATGAGAAAAAAATGTGTGCATGTTCGTTTTTATGTCTTGCTTTGTTTAGAAAAAGAAAAAAAATAAAAAAAAAAAATCCCAAAAAGATTTTCTTTGTATGGTTTAGCAAGCTTAAAATTTTTGAGTGATCCTTGGTGCATATTGGAATTGATAAGAATATCCATTACATGTTAATATGTGTGTGCTTTCTGTGGTCATTACTCACTTTGAAGTGTATGTTTTTTGATTAGTATGTCTCATTCTGTACACACTCTTGGATTAGCAAATTTTGGAGTCTTCCGCCTTAGTGATTATTTTTTCTCTATGGACTTCTGTCATTGTATCTTTTGCTTTTCTAGAGGAATTGACCTATACTAGCATATCATGGGTGATGTTGAGTCTCTTAACCACCTTTCATCTTTTTGCATCTCCATGGCTTTCCCCTCTATTCTTTGTAGTCCAGGCATGAGGAAAAGGCTACCTCAGAGGCACCAACCATGCCATCCTTATTATATCCATGCTTCTTTGGTTCGGTTTCCATACTCTTGAGCGTGTTAGCCGCCAATGAGTGTGCAAAAGAAAAAGAAAAAGAGAAAAAAAGGATGTGCAAAAGAAAGAAAAGAAAAAGAAGGGAAAAAAAAAGCTTTGTAAAAGAAAGAAAACAAAAAGATAAAAAAAAAGAAAAAAAAAAATAAAGGATTCATTGATTGAGGAGCCTCTCCTTTTATCACCAAATACCCCTTGATTTCTAGTGGTTTGACTTTCCTTTGTTGTGCTTAGATTCTCTTGTCGGAGGTCCAACTTTCAGATCACTACTAGGATTGAATCTAGTGTTTGTCAAACTCCAAGAGTCACACACACACTTTTATCCAAGGTTCTAAATATCGGCCCGTACGTGCTGTACTGGCCGATTCGTACCAGAAAATGGGAGTGCCGAGTCGGATACTCATCGGTATATCGGTGAGAATGAATGTTGCGTCCGTAGTGGCCAATTCCCGATACGTATCGGCCTGAATCCGATACGTGAGCGATATAGCTCCGACACAGTCCGATACGGCTGAAAATGAGCAAAGCACCTGCAAAAATGCTCCGTTTATAATGCTCCAGCTGAAAAATGCTCTGTTTATAAAGCCACCATTTTATAATTCTTGCAGGTGCAGGTGCAAGAATTATAAAATGCACCTGAAAACGAGCAAAAGCACCTGCAACAAATTAATACATTCCCATCACATGCTCTGTTTATTAGGAGCATTCATAATGCTCTGTTTTTTCTTTTGGCTGAAGAGGATCAGCCTCCTCTCCGGCCTTCTTTCTGTCCAGCAATATGAACAAGATTGGGACACGTGGTAGGCAGACAATCTAAGGGCCTGAATATGTCCACGTCATCTAGTAGGAAGGGGATGGAATGGAACGATGTCGTTTTGGAAAAATGGACCCGTTTTGCTTAACACAGTACTATTAAAAAATTAATTTTTTTTGTATTTTTTATTTTTAGTGAATATTTAAAAAAAAAAAATCTATATTATTTTGTTTAAAATGAGTCAAAAGTGCCTCTATATATTAAATTTTTGATTAAAATGTGATAAATTAAGGCTAAAAGAGTCAAAAAAATGCATAAAATTGAGTTTTAGAGGGATTGCTAATGATTTTTGAAATTTCACAGTCGCGACGCCCGATACCCGATACGTACCGGTCGATACTACCGATACTGATACTCCGCGATCGATACCGTTACATTACCTGATATCGCGATTTAGAACTATGCTTTTATCATGGGATCTATGCTTTTCACATAATGCATCACTTTCTTGCATGAGGAATCTTCTACAGACTATGCACATTGTGTTTACTAGTAATTGTGCTTCTTGGATAATCTTGTGTGTTTTAAGGTACAAATCTGAGATTTCTTGCTTGCTCCACCATATTATTTTTGTTGTTTTTTCTTCTTGTTCATTGTTTTTAGTGAAGGGTAGTTTGGTTTATCATTACAAGAGTTTATTAGCATGAATACTTTGATTTGTTTGGTAAGGGAGATTGGCTATAGTTGTTTTGCATGTTTGCTATGCACTGTGTGCTAATTATTTCCTTCTTGCATGTTTCCGGTATTTACATCGTCATATCATTGCTTGTGTGGTTTATGATCTTGCTTTTGTTGTTTGAGAGTTGTTTTTCATGAGTCTTAGTTTTCATCTATTCATGTTTTCCATCTCATGTTTCAAGATAATTGTGTCATATGTCTATTGCTCTTTCATATACTCTTGTGGGACTAATAGTTGTTTTGGAGATTGTGGCACTAATAGTTGTTTTGCAGATCATGACCTTGAGAAAGAAGTTTGTTTTTATTGGTTGTAAGGGTTAGGGTGTTTAGGATTTTATTTGTTAGACGTGTTTTGTCACGGCATTGTCAAAGGGGGAGATTGTTAGGTTTTTATTCTTGGAAATCCCGTTTGACAAAATTCCTTTAAGTTGTATTTGTTTTCGCACTTTTTATTTCAGTGAGGCTATAAGTGTTTAGATGCGAATCCAACCCGAATTGTGCTTTACAGAGAGGTTTGTGATGTTAATGCTTTTAAGATTGCCACTTCGCTGATTATGACGGGGATCGAGCTGCCCGGTCAGCTCGCAGGGGTCTAGGGGGCAGCGCCCCTTGGCGGGTCCGGGGCAGCACCACGGCGAGGTCGAGGGGCAGTGCCCCGAAAGCAAAATGCAAAATTGCATTCATAGTTCCATGTCCGCCCTTGCTCGCTCGAGCGAAGGAGTGCTCGCTCGAGCGAATGCTGCGTCTGGCAAAAAACCTGAAAGAGATGAATGTACGCTCGAGCGAAGTCACTTATGGAAAACACGCTTTTTTGGTTCCTCGCTCGAATGAGAGAATCTTCGCTCGAGCGAGCATCGCGATTCAGATTTCTAAAAGTACGGGTTTCTGTCAGAATTTAGGATTACTTCTCCAGATCTTCTTCTTGGGTTTTAGGATTTATATTTGGAGATATTTAGCTAGTTTTCTTTGATGTTTTGATTGAGTATTCAACTCCTGGTTTAAAGAGTATACATCAAATGATTATTTGTTTGTTCTACACAAAACTGAGAGTTGTTCTTCAGTGGATTCTGAAGAATTCAAGCCTGAAGCTTTGGTGGATTCCGGAGTGACTCATCGTCAAGACAATTCCGAGGTGAAGACAAGGTTGGAAGAGGCGCATAGAGGTTGGTTCAATTCGGGCGTGGATTCGCTAGGTAATTGAAAGTATACCTGTGTAATTCCTTTATATCTTCCTAGTGGATTGTTTTGTAGCTGTTGCCCGTGATTTTTTTTTTATCACAACTGGAGGTGTCCAATTGTGATTTTTTATGTCGATTTGTCTTGATTGTTTGATTAGGATTGTTATATGCTGCTTAAAATTGATACATAATCACAAATCAACATCTAGGGAATTTCTAGATTTTTCAATTTGGATAGTGATATAAGTTTTGAATATTTTGGTCATCTCACTACAACATATAAGAGTTTTAGAGACCAAATGTTTTAGTCTCTAAAAGTAAAATTATTTTTGCAAAAGGCATTTAGGGACTAATTTCTACTGTCATGAGGATAGTTGCTAAAAGGTCGTCCCTAAAAGTAAAAAACAAGGCTTTTAGCAACAAAATTTTGAAAATGTCACTAATAAATAGACTTTTAGGGACAAAATAATTTGGTCTCAAAATGGTTTATTTTTTGAGACAAAAAATTTGGTCCCAAAAATATAATAATTCATCACTAATGTCTAATTTTTGTTGTTAAAAATATAATGACACTTTTCGCAACAAAAATATTTAGTTACTAAAAAATAATTTTGTCCCTAAATTTTGATCTCTAAAACCTTAATTTTTTTGTAGTGCCTCACATGTATTCTTTATTTTATTCATAATGGAAGCTCTTTTATCGTGGATGTAGATAATTTGGGCCAAACTATGTAAATTTGTATGTGATTATTTTTCTCCTTGGTATGTGCGTGGGTGGACATTCATTTGCATTGGTGGCACTACAAAAAAATTGACTTTTTGCAACGACAAAATACCGTCGCTAATACTCCTAATGCCGTCGCTAATACTTTTTGCGACGGCAAGAGGGGGTCGCAAATGCAGGGGTTGCAAAAGAGTTTTTGCGACGGCACAGTGCCGTCGCTAATGTTTTGCGATGGCATTTTTGCCTTTTTGCGATGGCATTGTGCAGTCGCTAATAACGTTTGAAATTTCTTGACTTTTTTGGGACGAGACTATTTTACCGTCGCTAAAAATGTTATTTGAGACGGCAAAAAATACCGTCGCTAATAGTCTTTTTTTGCAACGGTAAAAACACTATTTTTGCGACGGTGTGGTGCCGTCGCAAAAAGTATTAAAAATATGCAAATTTCTATTTTTTGCAACAGTGTAATGCCGTCGCAAAAAGTTTAAAAAAATAATAAAATTTCTATTTTAAATAATAAAATTTCTATTTTTTGCGATAGTATAATGCCCTCGCAAAAAGTAAAACCTGTAACAAAATTAATAAAAATATTAAAACTTACTATTTTTTGCGACGGTGTAATGCCGTCGCAAAAAAGAAAAAAACATCCTACGATAAAAATATTAAAATTTCTCCATAATAATATAAAAATAACAATTTCTTCATAATAAAATATTTTTCCATTCATATAATTACACATCAACAAAATTATCCCACTACATAATGTTCCATAATACATATATAATGTTTAAATACATGATTTTGTTCATAATTTAAAATAACATAAACCAAATTTCATTACTAAAATAATAAAACAAATTGCATTTAAATTCTCACTTTCATAAATAAAATTGAGGTCTAGACAGGATGAGCCATTTACTTTGGGACCCATATTTTACATGCTGAGTATTCAAGTCATTGTGAAGGCATTATGACACATAAACCCTCCTTGCCTAACTGTCACCCCCTGTCCGGCCATTACACTGCAAAATTGTGGGTCTACATGCCAAAAAACGCTTCAAAGACACCTAGAATATGAAAGGCAATTTGATTAGCTGCAGCTATAACCGTGGTGGCCTTGTATAGAAAATTTTCCCCAATTCGTGTCTCCACTAGCATGAGATCGCTACAAAGAAAGAAAGGCATGCCAAATTAAAAGCAGAGAAAATAAAGTAATAATTCCAATGTTTTATAGCAATCAACATATTGAAACATAATATGCCAAGAAATCACGCACATGCATAGCACTCTTTTCCTATGAAGGGTGGGTTCCCAGCATAGCACTCATATAGCACACAACCAAGGGCCCAAAAATCAGATGCATAAGAATGGACGCCTCCATCCTGAAACAACTTAGGAGCCATGTAAAAGGGAGTTCCACGTTTTGCTTGTGGCAGTTGAATAAATGGAGGAATAGAATAAATGAATTAGTAAATAAAATTCCAGTACAAATTTTTTATTAAAAAAATAATATATATATTCCATAGTCCAAATCTTAATGAGTCATACAAACTAAATCAGTAGCATGCATCAAAAGTTGTAATGTAAGAGAAACCTACCAAGGAAGAAGGAGTTTTAGATATATCACTCAATTTTCTTGACAATCCAAATCCTGTTTAATTTTATAAATAAAGTTTCTGAATGCACATAGGCCGGCCCAAGGAACTTGAATGCGGAAACCAACATGGCAACAACAGTTGTCATTAGATTGGTATAATATTTAAACATAACTATAATTAAGTCTAGCAAAAAATTTCTATTTCAAATTGAAACAAGAAAGGTAACCTGGATGAAGAACTACAATGTCATAAATAAATATACCAATCATGACAACCAGAAATTAACTATTGTGGGAAATAATAAAAAATGTTTACAGAAAATATGCTGTTTTAGGATATGGAAATAGCTCTCTAAATTAGACAAGCAAGAACATTATCCATACCTCATGGAGATATTCTCTCAGATTAACAAAGGAATGAGAGATGTTAATGCAATATGATAGGGTTGCATGAATATTATCACTCCTCATAATTGCTTCCTCAAGCTTATCCAATCGTCTGCATTCAATTGCCATTCCGATAGCTTGTTGATACTTTCCATCCAGGATACACCTATATACAGCAATGGTAAGAAAATTGGAAAAAGGCGTCATTACATTGAAGATGAGGTGAAATTTACATACTTATCCAACATTCTCTCCACAATTGCCTCCAAACGAGCGTCCATTTTGGCTGCTTCATCATTTGACTCTGCTGCCTTTGACTTGACGCTGGCATATTCATCAATAGCTTTAGCTGAGTGAAGAAAGAACATGACAGCAACAATTAGTAAGATTACAGTGAAAAGGCATAATTTACATTCATATAATTCTTTTCATGTTGAAAAATAATAAATGCAATGCGAAAATTCTTACCCAGAAGGGTATGGACATAATCTGAATCCTCAGAAACATCAAACATTGGACCAGCACCAAGAGCATATGACAATGAGTCATTAAGTTCACCCAAGTAATAGAAAACCTGACGAAAGAAATAAAGGAATTTGTGTAAACAAGATAAAAGTAAATTAATTAAACGTCTTAAGGACTAACAAGTGATAGCCTCTGATTTCAGGTTTTATCTTCACATGCAAGTAATCTATTGTAAGTTACTGATAATTAAAATAAAAATAAAAAAATAAAAAAAGAGTACTAAGATATATTGTGGTTGCAAAGATTAGAGAAACCAAGAATGCAGAAACTCACTACCCCAGGGATGAAAACATCTGAACATATTGAATGATTGAGTGAATTGTCATATCCAATGTGTCTCCCTCCTTTGATAACACACTCCAGATACAATCCATAATATTCATCGATACCCACAGGAATACACGTGTACATCACAATAATTTCCAATATTGAACAGAGACCAGTATTGCATTCTTATCACTAGCTCTTCTTCATTTTAATTAATAAAACTGTTTGTTTACATAGGACACTTTTAAGAATGGTGATGAGGTGCTATGAGTAATTAAATTGGAATTGGCTAAATTTTGTTTACATAGGACACTTATAAACACATGGCATAGCTAAATTTTGTTTACATAGGACACTTATAAATCCTGTTAAAATTATAATTCCTCATTATACAAAAACTCCTATAATCATGGCAATGTAAATAGAATGTTATATCCCTATCTCTCCCTGGCTGATTCAGAGTTCAAATGTGATTATATCCAACCCCTAACATACATAGCTAACTTGGGCAGCTTTATACAAGGAAATCTTTTGTTTGCAGCCCCTCTGAATTTGAAACACAAAATTTACGTGTAAAAGGAATACACTACACACATTAATTTTCAAATGTCACACATCTGAGCTAAAGATTTAATAGGATACCACAAATTTTCATCAATGCCCCACTTGATTGCTAGAAGGAAAGAATAAATATATATGGTTAGAAGATCGCACTACACCTATTCAGGCAAGAAGGAAAGAAAACCTTGGCAACCCAAATGATCATAAAAACCAGAATTGAAGAAAATTATCTTTTTTCTATACAAGAAAAGTAAGTGATCATAATATAGAAGAGGGGCGATGGTCGCTAAACACAAAGGAGGAATACATAGAAAAATGATAATGACCTTTGAAACAAGCAATGCAGCAAGTTATCGTTGATCAAACTCCTCATCTTCATATAAGCTCTCTCTGCATGTGAAATAAACACAAACATTTATTTCCAAAGAACTAAATTGATAGAAATCTGAAAAATGGATTCCTTTTTTTTGATAAGTGACAATAAAAAAAAATTTAAAACTGGATTCTACACCATCAGTAGTCCACTAATATCACAGTTGTTATGAGAATCACATGGCAACATAGTCCAATACTATTACTTAATTAGTCAACTAGGACTACAGATTTGCATATGCAATATCCACACAAAAATAGGAAAGCATAAAAACTTCATCACAAGCTGGAGTAGAAAGCATCATTTAAACATAAACATCATACAGAATTGGTTTTGAAGAAGTAATCAGAAGAAAAAACATATTTATGGTACCCTATAAGTATTCACTAGCCAAAAACATGTCCACAAAATATTCCAAACAGTTCTTGCTCGATTCCTCTTAAGAAACAGTAACAAATAAGAAATATCTCTGAAACCCAAATTTTTACCTAAACATCAAATCAAACCCTAGATTCTGCATTATCTACTTCAAACAAGTAAACAATAAGAGAGGAGAAAAAGAAGTTAAAATTTTGAACATCCATTACGTGTTACATAAGAAAAATAGGAACTACAGATACCTAGCTTAATTCAATCAAATTTCTAACTTTTTAAGGGAAACTTGTTGCTACTGTTGCACTAATTGTAAATGCATATATATATACTAGCGGTTGGGCACACACGATGTGTGTGCAAATTAAATAAAGAGGAATAAAAGAAAATAATAATGAAATTAATATTATAATATGTACTTAGCTTAAGTGGTATGAGTCCTCATACTTAAATCCATGGTCATGGGTTCAAGCCTTGCCCATCTCTTTGTTTAACTTTTTTAAAAAAAAATAAAAAACACTGCCACATGGCATGAGGAGAGTAAAGCAAGCTTCAGGACACCATATTATGTGTTCACTTTATAATAGTACTAGCGGTTGGACACACACGATGTGTGTGCAAATTAAATAAATAGGAATAAAAGAAAATAATAATGAAATTAATATTATAATATGTACTTAGCTTAAGTGGTATGAGTCCTCATACTTAAATCCATGGTCATGGGTTCAAGCCTTGCCCATCTCTTTGTTTAACTTTCATATCGGCCGCAAACCAACGGAGCAGTTGAGGCCGCCAACAAGAACATCAAACATATTTGAAGATGCGATTCAGAAGCAAACTCGAATCAAATCTAAAAAGAGAGTTACCGAGAATTTGCCACGGCCGATAGCTTCATAGATGTGGTAGTGGTTCATGATAGCCGTCTGCGAAATTCTAGGGTTTCGAGTGTGAAATAGAGACTGAAGAGAGAGACAAAGAGAGAGTCGCAGATCGGAGATAAATATGAGGTCGATTACGTTTGGAACTAGTGATTGAGATGGCTTTGGATCTGTTTTTCTGGTGAGAGGAAGCTTTGCTGACTGTGAAAAATGAAGGAAGATAGAGAGATGGTTGTGGGCAGGAAGGTAAGTGTAATTGAAAATCAAATCTGAAAAATAGAAACTTAGGGCACGCCGATGGCCGCTCGTCGTCGCCTCTGAGAGAGAGAGAGAGAGAGAGAGAGAGAGAGAGAGAGAGAGAGAGAGATAGTGTTGTTTCGAAACTTAGGGCTCTGAAACTTAGGGCTTTACAAACCTGAAATGAAATGGAAAAAAAGGGAGGAAAGACGGGGAAAAAAGGGGGGAAAGACGGGGAAAAAATGAAAAAAGGTTTTGTTTGGTTGAGATTTTCGGAATATTTTTAATATTTTGATTTTCAGAATATTTTTAATATTTTTAATATTTAATTTTTTAAATATTTTAAATATTTTAATTTTTTAAATATTTTTATACAGGGCTACAAAATTAATTGACAAAAAATAATTGACATAGAAGTTGTTTGAAAAAAAAATGATTTGAAAAAAAATATATATTCAAAAAAATTACTTAAAAACAATTAATCGAAAAAAAAAAATTTTTTTATTTGAGTATTTTAAAAATAATTTTTTGTAGTAGAGAAGAGTGAGCGATAGTAGTGGTGGATAAGAGGTCGTGGTGGCGGTGGCGGCGAAGGAGATTAGTGATGAAGTTGTGGTAGTGGTATGGGAGATGGAGTGGCGGCGGTGGATGAGAGGTAATAGTAGTAGTAGTAGTAGTAGTGGTGGTAGTGGAGTGGTGGCAGTGGTAGTAGTCATGGTAGTCGTAGAGATGAAGTGGCGATAGTGGAAGTAGTGGTGGTGGTGGAATGGCGTTTGCAGTAGTGGTGAAGGTGGTAGAGGAGATGGGTGGTGAGAGAGAGAGATGAGTAAGTGACAAAGTGATGAGCGAGAGAGAGACAAAGTGGTTGCTCAAAGTGTATTTTCTTGTAGTAGATCAATAAATCGAGAGGGAGATCTGTAAATAGAGAAGACGGGAGGGAGAGAGTGAGTAACGCAAACATAGTGGAAGAAAGAGAGAGAGAAGAAGAGAAAGAGATAGAGAGTGAGAGACAGAAAAATGACAGAGAGGGAAGAGAGATGGACGAGAGAGACAGAGAGAGATAGAGAGAAGAGAGATGAGCAAAAGAGACATAAAGAGAAGAGAGATGAATGAAAGAGACAGAGAGAAAGATAGAGAGACATGGAGAAAGATAGAGAGAGATAGAGAGAAGAGTGATGAGTGAGAGAGAGACAGAGAGAGAGAGAGATAGAGAGTGAGACACAGAAAAAGAGAAAGATAAATAAGAGAGATGAACGAGAGAGACAAAGATAAGAGAGATAAGCGAGAGAGACAGAGAGAGAAGAGAGATGACCGAGAGAGATAGAGAGAAGAGAGATGAGCGAAAGAGATAGAGAGAGAAAAGATATGAGAGAATAGATAGATAAGTGAGAGACACAGAGAGAGAGAGAGAGGGAAAATAGACAGATAGACAGACAAACAGAGAGAGAAAAGTGATGAGTAATAGAGAGAAAGAGAAGAGAGAGAGGAAGATGAAAAAATGTTTTTTTGCGACCCATTTTTTTTTGTTACTAAAAATCAGGAACTAATTTTTTGTGGTAGAGGATAGGGAGCGGCAGTAGTGGTGAATGTGGTGGATAAGAGGTGATAGTGGTGGTGGTGGTGATAGCGAATGAGATTAGTGGTGAAGTTGTAGTAGTGGTAGAGGAGATAGAGTAGCGGTGGTAGATGAGAGGTAATGGTAGAAGTAATGGTGGTAGTGGAGTGGTGGTAATGGTGGTAGTAATGATAGTCGTAGAGGCGGAGTGGCAACAATAGTAGTAGTTGTGGTAGTGGAATATCATTTGCAGTAGTGGTGAAGGTGGTAGAGGAGATGGTTGGTGAGAGAGAAATGAGTGAGAGACAGATAGAGAAGAGAGGTAGAGACAGAGACAGAGTGATGAGTGATAGAAAGACAAAGTGGTCACCAAAAGTGCATTTTCTTGTAGTGTCTTGATAAATCGAAAGATAGCTTGGTAAATAGAGAAGAATGGAGAGGGAAGTAAGCAAGGCGAACACAATGAGGGGGAGACAAATAGACAGGCAGACAAAGAGAAAAATAGAGAGAGAAGAGTGATGAGTGAAAGAGAATAAGAGACAGAGAGAGAAAGAGAAAGAGAGAGATAGAAAAAGAGAGAGAAACAAGAGATGAACGAGAGATAGACAAAAAGAAATGAACGAGAGAAAGACATAGAGAGAAGAAAAATGAGCGAGAGAGAGATATATAGAAATGAGCGAGAGAGACATAGAGAAAAAAGAGATGAGAGAGATAGAGAGAAGAGAGATGAGCGAGAGAGAGATAAAGAGAAGAGAGATGAGTGAGAGAGGTAGAGAGAGAAGACAGATGAGAGAGATAGAGAGAAGAGAGATGAGTGGGAGACAAAGAGAGAAAGAGACAGACAGACAGAGAAGAGTGATGAGTTAGAGAGAGAAAGAGAAGAGAGAAAAAGATAGAGAGTGAGAGACAGAAAAAGAGACAAAGAGAGAAGAGAGATGAACGAGAGAGATAGAGAGAAGAGAGATGAACGAAAGAGACAGAGAGAAAAGAGATGAGAGAAGAGATAGATGAGTGAGAGACATATAGACAGAAAGAGAGACAGACAGATAGACAGACATAGAAGAGTGATGTGTGAAAGAGAGAAAGAGAAGAGAGAGAGGAAGATGAAAAATGGGTGAAAAGAGACAGAGAGGGGGGTAAGAAGAGATTAGGGATTTTTGGTTTTGGGCGGGGTGGTTTGAGATTGAGGATTTTTTGTTTGGGATGGGGGTATTACAAAACGCGAATGGAAAAAAAAAAATCGGTCACAAATGAAATTTAAACAACAAAACGTGGTTTAACCTTTTTTTTTTTTTTTTTTCGACAGGGGTTGCCGTCGCCAAAAAAAATTATTTTTGTTAAAATAAATTTTGTTTTGTAGTTAATGAATTTTAAAAAAAAAAATCATTTTTTTTTAGTTATTGAGATTGAAAATTTATTTGTTTCATTTTTTATTTTAATGAAAAAAATATTATTATTATTTTTTATTTGGTAGAAGTAGGGGTAATATTTTAATGAAAAATATTTTCTACTAAAATAAAAGTTAATTTTCTGTAGTCAATGAAAAATATTTTTCTGCAGCCTATTTTTTTTAGTTATAGATTGAAAATTTATTTGTTTTATTTTTATTTTAATGAAAAAAAATTATTATTATTTTTTTTATCAAAAAGTCACATTTTTTTTTGCGACGGCAAGTTGTGCCGTCTCAAAAAGTCATATCTTTTGTGACGGCAAATTGTGCCGTCTCAAAAGGTCACATTTCTTGCGACGACAAGTTGTGTCGTCTCAAAAGGTCACATTTTTTGCGACGGCAAGTTGTGCCGTCACAAAAAATGACTTTTTGCGACTTTTTGTGACGGCAAATGTGCCGTTGCAAAAAAGTTCCGTCTCATAAGCCCACTTTTCTTGTAGTGTGGGATGTGATATAAATCTTAACAAGTGGTATCAAAACTAAAGGTTACCGATCCTAAGTGCGATTGACAGAGGATGCGGTTACTGCACATGGAAGACTTGCTCAAAAGAAAAAGAAATCCCAACTCAAAATTTGATGAAGGTAATGTAGTTGTGGGTATCGTGCCTTTTTCGAGTCTATGGCCCGTTTCCTACACAAATGTTGTACTAACTCCCTTTGACCAACAAAGAGTCGCCACTTAATTTTTTAAGAAAAATTAAGAAACCTTTAGCAATGAAAACTAAGTTAAGGACCGATCCATTATAATAAAAAAATTCCAAATTCAAGAGCGTAGGTACAAAAGGAGAAGGTTATTGAATTAAAGCATTCATTTTTGCCCAATCCGAAGATTGCATCTACTTACTTTCTATTTTATGATTTTAGTGGTTAATTATTCACAAACTTTATTATTAGACCTAAAAGCCTTTACTAACCCAAACAACTAGATAATTTGAATAAATAATAAATATCACTTATTTTATATTGAAAAAAAAATGCTATATTTTTCAAAAATTAAGATTTTTAATCAAAAGGATATTTTTAATCATTCATGGCAATGGACTCGAACTAGAATAAGCAATATTCACATAAAAATATTCAAAACATATAATTTTTCATAGAAAGAGTATTTAATTTGGATTATCTAAAAGACAATGCAACAAGACACAAGCACATGCTATGAAGGTTAAAAGGACTTATTCAGATGCCCACTTTCAACGTCTTACATGCAAATACATAAATAAACATGATCCTAACATACAACTAAACACACAAAAAATAGTCCTAAGCCCGGTTTGAGGCTATTAAATTATGCTTATGCTAACAAGGCAAATAACAAGTAAAAAGCAAAGAAAATATACTAAACTATATGATGATCAAACTGAGCTTAAATACATGGTTTCTACATGATTAAATGAACCTAAACATGTTGTTCTAATATAAATAAAGAAAACATGTGAGGAGAGGTAATAATATTGATAAAACGAAGAGACTATATGATGAGATGATGAATGAAGACCCTAGCAAGGATTGACTACTGAAAATAAGCAAAGAAAGGGTATCGAAATAATAAAAAGATAAGAGGTTACCTGTTGTTTTGAAGAAAACGCAAGAAAGAACGAGAAAAGTTATAGGGAAATTTAGACAAGGGAAACGGTATTTTTGAGAATACTGATCTTCACTCTCCTCTGACTTCTGAAAAATTATCGTTTTTTTTTTCTTGTCTTTTTCAGTTTATTTTTAGTACCAAACATTAAAATCCAAAGATTGTGGAAAATTAAAATACTTACTTCAGCTTTTTGAATTAGTCTAGAAAAGTAAATATTTACTTGCAAAATGAATGGAAGAGATGTGGCTAAATTTGTGAAAATCCTCTCCTTGGCCATCAACCACTTGAAGCTTGTCACTAAATGTTTTAGGCATATACCAAATCTGCAATTCCTAGAGGGTAGAGATGAATATCAATCCATCCTGAAGCCTCTTCAAATTCTTGCATTTAACAATCCATAGACAAGAAAGTTTAGGCATGACTCCAACATCCACCCTCCATTCCTCAATTTCTAAATTACAAAGCTCCATAGTTTTAAAAACCGGCTGATAGGCTACGTATATCGGCCGATACGTATCGGGAAAATGGGG